AAATAGAAAAAAAGAAACCACATCCATTTTTAATGCATTACTGCTTGAAAAAGTCCTTGTTTTTTATGATGAAACTAATGAGAGTAGCCTTGTTTCTCCAGACGCCTGCCCAGCACATACGTCCACTCTCCATCTGTTCCGTTCCCTCACTTTACACTTTCCAAGGTTACGTCCATTTCTCACACACTACTGTCCACGGTTGCCATCGGTGGGTGTGGTCATTTTTGGCTGTGTCGAAACAGGAGATTAATGGGATTCCCATGTAAATGAAACACATGCGGGCCAACTTCACGCTCTGCCCTGCGAGATAGCCAGGAAAGTCTGGAGTCAGCAGCGATTCGCTGTGTGTTCTGACAGCTCAGTGTTACAGAAAGCATCAGGCCCGTTCACCCCGAAGCACTGGACTACATTTACTTCTTAAAACATCCCACAAGACTTGTTATTTTGCAGAAGGTCTTGATCAAATATTATAGTCATTGTTTTGGCTAATACGTCTTGTGGACCTGTGGCTCCAACACATCCACTAAACTGATGAAGAAAAAAAGCTACCAGGAACTCCCATATCTGCTTTAAAAGTCTTGTTCTTTAGAGATGCTACATACTGTGTCACTACTGCCTTAGTGTTTTAGGTGGACTCCTAATATATACTGAACACAAGGTTAATAATGACAATACAGGAAGAATTCTACATCCTACCCATCAGAACTCCATTTAGCATTTTTAGCAAATGACACTAATTGGATTTCTGATCTCCATCCTTGCCATTTAAATGACGTTACGTATTTGAAGTAATGAAATGAAAAACATCTGTGAAACAACACAGCAGGGAATACGTCTCTGTCGGCTCCGTGTGTCACGACTTTCCTCCTTAGGATTAATTACGTCGATGAATTACCAGTCTGTTTGTCAGCAGCTCACTTTGTTTCATATTTCGCGTTGTCCCGTGCGATCCCACACAGATGCCCACACATGTGGGGAGCGTGAGTCAGTGTGGTACATGTAGCTGCATATTTATGACACATTACAGCAGTGATGAGCCTGTCATCTCCAAAGCCAGGAGATCTGCAAACAGGCTTCAAAACCTGAAAAGAACATCCACCCTGGCAGGGGAGCAGGACAGGACAGGGACAGACACCATTACTGCAGGGTTAGCTGGTCTGCGTACATTGTCACTGTGGGACGTGGTTGTCATGAGTGTCTGCGTCCATGAATTATTGATCAACCCTAAATACAACAGAGATTTCATCTTATTTTCCTAAGATGAAGTTTCCATCAACTTTGACCGGTTCCATTTCCAGCTGCATGGTGCAACACCATTAGTGGGAAGTCATAATGGTCAGGTGGAGGGTGATGGAGGTGGAGAATTGAGCTGGAGTGATGCCTGAATTGTGGGGCATGTTGTGTGGTTAATCTAGAGGATAATGATGCCAGAGGAAAGGTCGTGTGGGTTCAGTGCCAGTGCTGCTGATGTCTGAGCACAGTTTGTGTTTACAGGGAAGTCGGTGTTTAAAAACGATAAAATGATGAGGTGTTTCTGGCTGGTTCTTGGTCTTATTGGTTCAGAAATAAGAGGAGACTGGATATCTGACCAACAGATGATCATGTCATTTCCAAGGGCCAGTGAATCAACCGTTGAAGATGAAGTGGTAGAATACTAAAGTGTAAATGTCTTTGAAGCCCATGTGGTGTGAACTGGCTGTGATAGTAGTGGTTTCAGTGGAAGTGTTCCTCCATCTGTTGCATTCTGGAGTTTTACCGTTAGATGTCACTAAGTCTCAGTATTTCCTACATATTTTACCATTAGGACTCACTTTGTTCATTAAGCTGATTTCAGAGCAGCGAGGCGATCTGATTGATAGTTCTGCAATTGTGCTGTTGTTGTGTTAGCTAATGTTAGCATGTGCAAATGTACAAATGTTTAATGTCAGTATTTAGTTCACTCAGGTCTGAGAGTATTTTCCAAAATATATTTCTTGTTTTTGCAGCAATCACAACAACAACAACGACCTCAGTACTCAGCAACTGTACTGTCTGTCTGTGTGTATATACAGTGACCTGCTTGTATTCAAACTACTGTACAAACCTCCTTTTTTGGCTTCCCCTTCCATTGGCTTGGCACATGATGTACACAAATTGATAGCACACCACCAAGAAGAAAATGCACATATGCTCACGTAGTAATGTGTCTTCTGAGAACTGTTGTGCAGCTGCTCCATATGGAAATGAAATAAACAAAGAAGGAAAAGGTTCCAGTTTTAGTTGATGTCAATATATATTTATTTCATTTTCTGTCAACTCCCAATGAAGCTCAGAGACAAAAAAATGGAACATCAAGCTCAGTGGGAAAAATAAGCATCTGTATCTGTACATTCTGCTCAAATGATTTTTGATTACCACAACTGTTATGAAAAAGAATTCTGTCACATTTTCAAGAGGCTGAGAAGCTTTAAATGTATTTATGGCGATGCTCTCTTCTCCTACATTAGACACGCCATACTAAAAGACAATTGTATAACATTCATATACGTTACTCTTTACAGCAGCTGATTCATTTCAGTGTTTTGATTTTATCAAAAATGTACAGCTTTGGCTAAAAAAAAGTGTAAAAATCAATTCCTGCAATTATCACTTGAGCCACAACACAGAGAAATCCCTCTGATGTGTGTGGAAGTGTAATGGTTATTACTTGGTTCTTGCATGTCTACATGCAACACAAAGACGCACTAATTAATCTCTCCACCGTGACATTTCCCTAGAATTCTAAATGTCAATATGCACCTGTTAAAGCTGACAGCATCTTCAGCATGAGGAAAAACAAGAGGTGAAGAAAAACAACAGAAGAAAGCAGTTAAAGCTACTGGAAGGATCTGTCCAAAATCCCAGTAGACACATGTGGTGAGATAGTTTGCCAAACCAGAAGCATTTGGCAAAAACATTACTCTGCACCTAAGGAAGGTTAAGTAATCTGAGAGGCCATGTGGAGCTTGACGTGGTTTGGTCTATGGTTCAAGTCGACCAAACACTGGCCTTGCAGGAACACGGTGGTCTTCAAAATAATTCTCTTCGCTCTCCCAGAATGCTACTCTTTGGTCCATGAGTCCATGTTAGCAGGTTTAGAAAATATATAGCAAACTAAATTGAAGTTATATATATGCACACACATATATATGTATATGTAAATATGTGCATATATATACAATATATACATATGTCACCATCACTCTCATCCCATCATATGACAACACAAAAATGCAGCAGGCTGAGCAAAGGGAATCAGCAAAAGCAGCAATCTGAGTCTGGATGGTCGCTGTTTGGTTTGACACAAAATGATCAAATCATTAAGAGGCATGAAAAGTCATCCTTCTTACTGTTGCTGATGGTTTTTTGGCACTTTGTGGCCACTTTCACGAGACAATATTATTATAAACCCCTTGGATACTGTGCATCACAATTTACTTCCCTAATATCCTAATTATACCTGACAGCTGACCACCAGAGGGCATCACCTAACGCGTAGTAATTATGTTGGAATATGTTAAACCGTTCTCCTGCCTTGGGATTTTTGGTTTTGGAAATTATTGCAAATACTGCAATTTCACAGAAATGTTATATGGTAGCAAAGAGATTGCAGTAGTGTGCCAATATTAAACAGGCAATATAAAAATATAATAAAATATTATGTAAAATAATATATTCTAACAACATACAAATATTCATATTATATATATCATATATCATGTCATAGCATATGTTCATAACAATATTATATACTGTAGAAATATTACACAGAGGTATAAAACAGCTGATAATAATATCTTACATAATGTTAAGGGTTTCATGGCGATGTTTTCTCTTATACAGGTATTAAATACATGATGCACGCCTGT